CCTTATTTTCTTAGCCACAGTTATAGCGTCTGGGTCAAATTTGGCAGCTGACTTTCAGATGTATGCTGGAATAAAAGTGTTTTATAAAGAATTAAGCATTAAAATTTACTTGTTGATTTTACTTTGTTTATGGTACAGCCCAACTTCCTTTAAGTACTTTTAAAATACTTTACCACTTGAGAGCCACTTATCATAGAATAATTGGAGATGGAAGCTAAAATTGTCAAGCCTTAGTGCCTAAAATAATTAGGGCATTAAAGCCATATTTTGATCTCTACACAGAAGAGGTCTGATCTTTTGAAGTATAGACCCACCATCAAATCCCCTTGATTCAGTGTGACATGGAGAGGTGGTGAGCACTTATGACAATGAGATCCTAGAAAGACGATCGTTTCCCAAGAACAGTAATCTATAATAGTGTGTCGAGTTCTATCCCAGCTGATTCCTATCTCACCTCACCCGCCATGTCATCTTTCCCACTAGAAATTAAAGATTATCTGCAAGCCCAACTTCTTCCAGTGCAGCCTGCATCTTCTCTCCCAGTACTGATCATTTTCAGCAACTAAAAAAAAATCTCCAAGAGGGGAAAAAACAACTGAGAACTTTTATGAAACCCAAATACAGATATCCAAGGAGAAACTTACAGGCAGGTACCTGGAGGGTTAGCACTTGTATAATAAACTGAAACAAAGGCATGTTTACTGTCATAGGGAAAAATGCTGTCCCACTAGACACAGATTTTAAACTCATTGCTTATGGGACTTTGCCCCCCCCATTTATAACTAGGAATTGGTTTTGATTGGATGCAGAGGGGTCTTATCACAGACCATGTGTTCTCAAATGATACACGATTTAGCCCACATCTGAGCTGCAATGCTTGGGAAGAACTATGCAGATTTATGTATCAAGACAGTGTCTATAGGATTATGCCTGAATGTTGTTTCTATGAAATAAGTGTTTTGTAAAACAATCTTTTAAATGTTTGCTTTTAATTCTAACTAAGGCTGCGTCCAGACGAGTGCAACTGTGTGGTTAAGTGGCACTGCAGGCATGTCTGTGGTGTCACATACTGCACGTTCAGCTGTTTTCCATGCTGCAAGGGAGGAGCATGGGTGTTTTTTGGGTTTGGGTTTTTTTGTTGGTTTTTTCTGACCCCTGGATATCCAGGGGTCAAAAAAAAAGTGCAAAGAAAAAGCTGAGAGGTGCACACAGGGGCAGCATGCGCCAGTCAAAACTGGGCCTTGGTCGGCCGCAGCCATGCTCTGGTCGGCTGCCAGCCAGGCTCCGAGCAGCAGGATCACCACTGCTGCAGCCCCCGGAGGCCCTCAAGATCCCAGGTAAGGCTGCTGGGGCCAGCACAGTCCTGGCCTCAGCCTCCCCTACCCCACACCCAAGGTAACCTACCGTGTGCCACAGGACACGTGGCACAGGTGTTCCCCCAAGACAACTAGTGGTGGCACATGGTGCACTGCTGTTAGTTGTCCCTAGGGAACCAGCTGCCCACGCTCATGTGGACATGGCCTAAGGTGCCACCCTGCCCTACCTTCTGCCAGGCTCTGTTCTGAGGAGTGTTTCCAGTACCACACCTCTTAAGGAAATGCTTTAGAGTAGTCTTGGCACTTAGATTTTTTGCAGGACCTTTTGATTAAGATAAATTCTGACCGACCACATTTTGCTGGTTCCTTGGATAATAGCATGAAATTGAACTACAGTAGAGTTGTCCAGCTGCGTTCAGACACGTTCACTTGAGTTTGTAGAGAGGTGTCATTTTCCCCACAATTAAAAACATCTCAAGAGATGCTAATGTTTAGCCGTACTCTAATTTACATGTAAGCCCCTACAGCCATCTCTTTTAGAGAAAGGCCTACCTCTGGCATATGAAGTGCAAGTGCCTCAGTTGGATTAATGTTTGACAGGCTACAGTGCCTTAATATTTTGAAGCTAAAGAATAGTATATAAGGATACCAAAAGAAATATCTAATGATAAATGTTTTGTGTGTGAGTGCTTTATATATGAACAAGAGTATTGATGAATGGAAATGTGCAGCAGTCGCCTCAGAAGAAAATTTAAAGACGTCTCATCAACTCAAGAAAGAGAAGGACATGACGATGTTTATTCTCTGGCTTCATTTAAAGAGAACAAGTTAGAAATTTAAAATTTGAAGTATCATCACAAAAAGCTGCTTTAAATACACTAAGTTATATTAGATCTCACAATGCACCTTACACACACGCGCAGCTATTGAGGAAAGGCCATTGGGAGGGAAAATCCTTATGCTTGAAGCATATAAATTTCAACAGTATTTGTCACACCCCTGCTTAAACTATTTAAGAAATGGTTTTTAGCTTGTTACAGTAAACTTCCTCATCAAAGCTCAAATCCTGACCTCGTTTGACGTCATTAATAGTTTTGCCTTTGTCTTCATTGCAGCCAAGTTTTCACCCCGCTCCTTTTTTTAAGGATTTAATTTAAGCGTATGATTAAATATCATCCCTTCAGTGGGAATAGTTATGGTTAGTTTTAAGCATGACTAAATTGCTTTATCGTCTCAAAGGGTGTAAAGCTGCAGTACTTAGCAACAGTAAATTTAGAAAATGTTTGGTTTTTACAACTTGAAGATAAATTTAAGGAAATAGTTGTAAGATGTAATGTGATTTGATGTCTACTACCATAAATGAAACAAGCGTAAAATGTATGTAATTTTTAGTCGTTGGTTTCTTGGATATTAATATACTTGTGATCTTGAGCCCCTTAGGAAACAGTTTAGTTCCACAGTTTTTAAGTCTTAATGCTGAAGCTCCAAGATATCTGGGATTACTATAACTAGAAAATTTAATCAGCCCATAATGCACATTTGAAATGCAGTTCAGTACTATATGCTAAAAAAAGCTAATATTTATGAACATACTATACCTGTTGTACCCCTCGTCTAAACTCAGAAAATTATGAAAAAGAGATTTGCTGTTTAACCATGAAGAATAGTTATCAATGTTGTTGTAGTGTTTGTTTTAGAAGTTAAAATTCTCTATGGTAATTTACTAGCTGGATAGAAATGACAACTAATGACCAATATTTTGTGGGAATGATAGGGACTCTAGAGTAAAATTTAAAAAACATTTCTCCTCCCCCCCATAAGTGTTTACCTCCAAACATCCTTTTGCACTGAATGCCTGTATACATTTAATCTCTTGCCATTTACATGACAATGAAATGTGCCCTATCGTACGCCCTGGATTAACAGGTATAGCTTTCATAAGTATGAGTACAAAATTGTGTGTACAGGAAAGGGAGAACAGCATTAAATGGAATACTCTGAAACACATCCAGAAACATCTCTCACAATGACTTCATATAATAAACCTTCCTGTCAATTTAGGATGGGTTTTTCATAGGATTTGATTTTGAAGCCTTTACTCAATGAGTACTTTCGTTGACTTGGTGGGACTACACTTGTGTGAAGGCTGCAGCTCTGCACATTTAATGTTGAATATGATGAAATGAGTCGCGTGACAAAATGTGAACTATCTCCTTGTGCTTTCCTATGCCAATCCCTTTCATAATTTCCTGCTTGTCCATTACTTTCATAAGTATTTTGAACCTCTCTT